GAATTGCAAACTGTTCTCATTTGATTATCAAACTCGTAAATAATAAACATAATAAACGTGTCTAGTTGTTAAATTTCAGAGAATATTACATGCAATGTTTTTTCTAAAATAGTTTATATAAAAACTATTCCAACACAGTACAATATTATTCCAACATAGTGGAATAATGTTGTATTATTCGATTAAATAAAACTTATTTATTATCGTATTTATATGCACTTGAATGTCATATTAATAAACTATTTTATCAATTTTTATCAGTTTTAACAATTTGTAATTCGAAATTTAATTCCATTCAATTTTTGGAAATACCCAAATGTTTTTTGTTTTTTTAATTATACTTAAATTCTGCACATCAATGCACTTTGTAAATTTCCGTGTAAACTGAATTAAAAATGCTAGTTTACAAGAAACATTTACACTTTAATCTGGAAAACACATTGGATGCGCTCAAAACACGATAACAGGAAGGAAATCAGTCATACATTATCTATTTGGACTTTCAGTTTATATCACATTACTTTCAAAACTGTTGATAAATTGAGAGGTTTGCAATGAACGTCTTCTATATTTTACGTGGATTTTTATAGTTAAGTTAATATTGTATGTAATTCATCGAAAACGAAAAATCATGTTTGTAAGTTTCGAATTTTATTTTAAATTATATCTGATAATTTGCAATTATTTAAACTTATCACAAAAGTTTTAATCACGTATCATTGTCAATTATTATATATTTGATATAATTTAATTTGCAATATCTTCAATATCTTAATTAATACAGATAAGGATACATAAATTTAATTTTGATAAGCTTTAATTTAGTCTGTAGAAAATTTAGTCTCTTTAATTACCTATGAATAATCTTCTATTTGCTGCTACCTTAAATAANCTGGGAGTTCGGTCGTGGGTTCGCGCCTCGCTCGGACGGGCTGGCCACGTGGAGTTTTCCGGGTTTTCTCCACGTCTGTAACACCTAAATAGGGGCCAGTTTCCCTTAAAAAGACCTCCCGGAAGTCATCCCCTTAGGCAGATCGCCCAAGTGTTGAGTTGCCATAATTTAATAAACAAACAAGCGACACACATGCAATTTTAATGTTGCCAGTAGAGTTAAGCAACTCCTTGCTGGATTTTTTAACGGATAAATTACTTTTAATTTGATATGTGATTGATAAGAAACGTTGTTTCTTATCAATCACAGTATTATGCGGGTAATCCGTTTGTTATTACGTTTCCAAAAATTAATTTGAAATTCTGTATGGGTTATACCATGACACGGTTTATTTGTCAGTTTTACAACATGGCAATTCTTTTGAAAAAATACTTAAACAGACGTTTTTCATAACTTTAGACAAATAATGTGTCTTTAGAAAATGTGAAAAATGCATTCGCTATATATATACAGTATACAGTACTTTGATTATCTGTTTGCAGATTATCCGTGCATTCTTACGTCTATTGATATATAAAAATTTAGCCTACTTCAGGAATACAGATATTAGCATTAAAATTAAAAAAAAAAAAAAACTACGCTGTTAACTCTTGCTGTTTAAAAATGGCATGTTGAGCGCCAGAACTCCTTCCAGAACGTAAGGCATAAATTAAATATCCTAACAATTACAGTAAGTACAGTTGATTCTAGAACTGAGTGGATTTGAATCAAAACAGTATATATATATATATAGGCCTATATGTAGAATTCATTAGAAAGACGAATTGCAAACTGTTCTCATTTGATTATCAAACTCGTAAATAATAAACATAATAAACGTGTCTAGTTGTTAAATTTCAGAGAATATTACATGCAATGTTTTTTCTAAAATAGTTTATATAAAAACTATTCCAACACAGTACAATATTATTCCAACATAGTGGAATAATGTTGTATTATTCGATTAAATAAAACTTATTTATTATCGTATTTATATGCACTTGAATGTCATATTAATAAACTATTTTATCAATTTTTATCAGTTTTAACAATTTGTAATTCGAAATTTAATTCCATTCAATTTTTGGAAATACCCAAATGTTTTTTGTTTTTTTAATTATACTTAAATTCTGCACATCAATGCACTTTGTAAATTTCCGTGTAAACTGAATTAAAAATGCTAGTTTACAAGAAACATTTACACTTTAATCTGGAAAACACATTGGATGCGCTCAAAACACGATAACAGGAAGGAAATCAGTCATACATTATCTATTTGGACTTTCAGTTTATATCACATTACTTTCAAAACTGTTGATAAATTGAGAGGTTTGCAATGAACGTCTTCTATATTTTACGTGGATTTTTATAGTTAAGTTAATATTGTATGTAATTCATCGAAAACGAAAAATCATGTTTGTAAGTTTCGAATTTTATTTTAAATTATATCTGATAATTTGCAATTATTTAAACTTATCACAAAAGTTTTAATCACGTATCATTGTCAATTATTATATATTTGATATAATTTAATTTGCAATATCTTCAATATCTTAATTAATACAGATAAGGATACATAAATTTAATTTTAATAAGCTTTAATTTAGTCTGTAGAAAATTTAGTCTCTTTAATTACCTATGAATAATCTTCTATTTGCTGCTACCTTAAATAAATAATTATAGATAAACATATTTTTAAATATTTGTAATTAATGTTTATCAGTTAAAATATAAATAAATAAATAAATAAATAAATATATCTTAAAAACTTAAAATATAT